CCTCCAGTCTGGCCTTTGATGTGCGGGTGTTACATGTGCTCATTACTTTAAGCTGTTCCATGTGTATATACTTGTATATATGTGTGTCTATATGTGTATACACACATATGCAGAAGTAGATGTATTTATATTCAGATATATACACACACGTAATGACACCCCAAATAAGCCACCCGTCCCACCCTTAAAGTGTCTTCAGAAAATTAACCCATGGAACAAGCAGTAATATGCAAACTATAAACATTCTTGCCTGTTGGCAGATAACCACACTACACATTCCCCTTGAAGAAATGAGAAAGAGAAGAAAGGGAATAACACAATGGCAGAAAAATGCACTAATCAAATCCATAATCAACTTTGATGATGGAGCAAGGATTCTAATCAAAACACAATGGGGCAAAGTTGCAACAGGTTGTAGTTTGGATTCACTCGCCCTTCCCAGGGGTCTTGCCTGTGCTTTCTTTTTAAACATCTAAAACACCCATAAAGCATTTTAATCACTTCTAATTACATATTTTTAATGAGTTACAAGTTGAATATGAGGCGCCCCAAACCAGTAAAGTACTAAAAATCTCATTTTCCTTGTGCAATTGTTTCTTTAAAATATTCTTACCTCTCCTCAAATAGCTCCAGCATTGCTTATCTGAAGGACAGGGTTTCTGAACTAACACAGAGCATGTCTCTAAAACAATTCTTTGCACATGGTCATAATTTATACACCATGTTAACAGAACAGATGCTATAAATATTCATTCTTGGGGGAAGGCCCAGGTATCCCAGCACCAGGAAGGGAATTTGGGAGGGGTGTGCTGTGCAGAGCACAGAGCCCTCTGGGGGGTAGGGGTTGAGCCCCAGCTGTGGGTTTGTAGGAGCAATTCAAGGTGAGGAGCTGTACCTAAGAGCTCTTTGCTGGCTACGCTTGGTCTTTTCACACTTGATGGAGCTGGAGAGCAGGCTTGGTGAAACATATGCTATCCCTGGCTAAAAAGTTGCTGCATAAGAAAAGAAGGCGTGAGAACCACTTGCTTTCACCCTGTAACTAGCACACTGAATACACTGAACCCCGTTTTCCAAAGGCCTGATATGAACTGGGTTCTTTGTGGACAACAGCTCCCCAGCTTCTTCTGACTACCTTGCGTGCTCAGAGTTACCACCCACTGGGCAGCAGCGTGCAAAGAAATCCAGTCCTCTAGCTGGGAGAAGCCTTTGTTCTTTCCTCATCCTTGTCTTTTAAAAGACCCTAGACATGGGCTGATTATGTGTTATGTGAAGGTGCAGCTTTCCTGTGGCCACATCAACTCCCGCTCGTCACCGATGCATGGGCCTGCTCCCATCCTGCTCTGCGTGCCCATCTCAAGCCCTCACCCCTCCCTCCCCACCGGACATTCTTGCCCATCTGAGGCCCAACTTACCTCCTCCTGCTTCATGAGGCCCCTTGAACCTCTCCAGTCTCTGTGGCCCTGCCTTTCCTTTGCGTGCCAAGGTCACCTTGTCTGCATTGTGCTCTGTGGATGTAGCAGTTCTGCCTCCCTAAGACCCAGGCCATCACTTACTTGCCCTGCTCATCTGCTGCAGCACGATGGAAAGAAGCATCTTGGCAGAGTGGAAGACCCCTGTCTTGCTGCCAGACCAACCTGAGCTGGCAGCCTTGGTCTTCCACACCAGAGCAGATGACCCGGAGTCAGCTTCACTCCCTCACTGAGCCTCAGCTCAGTCAGCTGTTACAGCGGTGACCTTATAAATCAGAGCCGCCATCATTTTGGGGGTGGGGGGTAGCATTAGTTCACAATACTATACATGTTCCAGGAGCACATGTTCTCACCTCTGCAGCTGCACACACCTCTTCATCCCACCGCTCAGTGTCCAGCCACTATCACCACTAATCAGTCCTCCCCCTGTCCCATGCACACCTCCTCTTCCCTGGTGACCACCATTCTGCTGTCGGAGTCCAAGGGCATGTTTATGGCTTGTTTGTTCTTTTGCTTTTTTCTCTCTCTATTCCACAAATGAGTGATGTCACAAGGTGTTTGATTTCCTGTGCCTGGCTTATTTCACTTAGCACAAACCCCTTAAGGCCCAGTCGTATTGCTGCAAATGGCTGAGCCGTGTTCCACCGTGTGTTCGTTACTGTATCTCATTGCGGTTGAGTCTGGTCCCCAAGCCAGAAAAATGGGGGTAACAGCATAGATCTCATTGGATTGTTTTAAAAATCAACTGAGGTATTTTATCTAAAATCTTTAGAAAAATTCCTGGCCCATAAAAAGGGCAATATAGGGACTGGCCATTTTTATGTTATTATTGTTACAGGAATGGGTGTGTCATACCTGCTTTGAGCATTACTGTAAGGACGAGATGAGATCACAAATACAGAGTCTGACGTATCAGGCGCTCAACAAGTGGCCAATTCCTGTCTGCTCACTGTGCCTGCTGCTGTATCAGAGATGCTGGCAAGGCCCTGTGAATCTACTGGCACCTCCCCAAGGGCTTCAGAGTGAGCTCTGCCTTTTCTCACTTGAGACCATTACATCTTTATTCAACGTGCCCTATCTCTTGGGTTATCAATATAAGTAGCCAATTTATTAAATGTTCCTTATTTGCCAGACACTCAGCTAAATAATTCATGCTATTTTTTCTTAATTCTCACAATTCATGTGCTTGTTTATGCTCTATTTTACAGATGGGAACACTGCTACTAACATGGCAGGGACAGAGCACCATAGATATCCCTCTGATTTGAAGACCTTGCTGCTGGCCAATGCACAACTCAGCCTCCTGTCAATCACTCATCGAATGAAAGAAGAAATGGAGTCCCCAAGATATTACTTGCCACTTAACTCATCATTTCTTGATTATCTTCTAGCGATAAGTACCAGATTTGGGATCAGTGACTACCAGATGGCAAGCCCGCCACCAAGCTGTAAATGAGAGGTTTTTCTTGGAGGATGGATGGGTACCATGCCAGGCAGAGTGAGAGGAAGCCTGTCCAGAGAAAGCAAAGCCCTTCTTGCCATGCCACAGAGAACAGACCCCAAGGAGTCTGGACACCGAGAGGGAAGAGGGAGCCGGTGAAAATCAGGACAACTCTCTGGGAAGTGGCCAGCTGCCATAGTCCATCCGAACCTGCCTGGTGGTGAACACACTTGGCCCCGCTGAGGGCGAGACAGGTGGAATGGGGACATTCTGGGGGCTGGGCCAAGAAAAAGGATGGAAAGCAAAGTGTTGAGGGAACAGGAACACATCAGCCCCTGTGGGAGCAACTGGGGAATATTTTTTCCAGGGAAGAAGGTGATGAATCACCTTTCCAGAACCAGTGGACTGCAAGTCCTGCTGCGACAGTTTTTGTTCAAGGAGGGGTCAAACGAGCAAAAGCAGACAGCTGGTGGTATGAGCAACCCAGCATCAACTTTCCCTCTCATTCTTTGGGTCCTCTTCATCAGGCTGGAGTGTGCGTGTCATGTCCTCTACCGCTCTGGCCTCCCACACACCACCCTCCACACCTCAGCAGCTCCACCTCCAGGGGTGGAAGGGAAACCCCGCCAGAGTGTATACTCTTGAGCTGGTTCCCATTTCTGAACCCACCAGACAAATGCTGTGAATAACAGCAGAAAAAGAGAGCAGAGCACAAACCCCCAGCAGAGACAGGCCCTGGGAGCAGCGGGGGGAAATCTTGCCTTCCTCCCACAGGCCATCACTCAAACCTGTCAGCTTCCAAAAATGTTTAGCAAGTACAGCAGCAAGGGGCACGCTTATCAGCTTGGCGTGGGAGCTTAATCTGCTTTGAGGGCCTTCTCCAGCCCAGAGTTCCAAAAGTCTGCTTACAATTAGCTTCCAGCTCCAGTTTCTCCATCAGAAGGGCTAGGAATGTGTTGAGTTCTAGCCTCTGATCAGAGAAAGCTCCAGGCGAAGGTGGAGACAGTGTCAGCAGAGAAGTAAGTGCCAAAAAGGTCAGCTGGTCTGTTGCCACTTCCCTGACACTAGCCCCAAATCACCTCCCCTCTGAATTCCCCACCTCTCCTGACCACCACAGTCACATCCGTCAGGTCAGCCTGTCCCCAAAAGTCCCTACTGACTCACTGCCAAGAAAATACAGCATGCCCCTGCTCCCCCTAACAGAAGGAGGGGGGGAGCAGCAGGGAGAGCAGAAAGCCAAGACAACCTGATTGGCCTTTGCGGATTTCCTTAAAAGAGATCCTGCAGCCAAGGCCTTGTCACCCAGCACTGTCAGGAAAAATAGAAGTCATCACTGCACTTCAAACCAATCCCTGCTCTTAGCCCCAGTCGCAGGGCTACCAGCACCAGAATCTGCCCAGGAAGGAGGGGCTTAGCTTTGAGCCGCCATTCTGAGCCAGCCACCCCCACCCCCAGTGCAACCGCCGGCCCCAGCCCCCAGCCGAGATGCTTGGAGTCTCCAGCTGCCGGCCAAGCCTCCACCGGTGCGCGGTTCTCTGGTGCACCAGCACCTAGCCCCAGCCCCGCTGTGCCCGAAATCTTGTCCGGGATGTAGCAGGGGTAGGCTATCTGAAGCCGCGGGAAGCAGGTTCCCAGATGCTCTTTGCTGGATCTTGAACCATGCCAGGGGGCGTTGCGCCCAGCAAGGCCTGAGACCATTCCTGCGGAACCGCTGCGGAATATACAGACGCGAGGCTGCTGCTGCAGAAACTGCCTTCTTGGGGTCAAGCCCTCCATCTATGCAGGACCTGACATTTTCAGTACTATACACCTTTTTTGAGAACTCCCGGGCCTTGACCCCAAGAAGGAATCTGCAGGCTCGCAGGCACCAAGGCCCCTCGGGGCTCCTTAAAACAAACCTTCCCTCCCTTATCAGGACCACACCCACCAGCTTTCCCTCTCTCCCTGCGTCGTCCAGCTTGCCGGTCTAAGGGGAATGGCTTCCTTCTCCATCCAGCGGGTGGCCCTTCCCCTCACCAGGCCGTGCCACCCTCCTCCTAAGTGTTCACCCATCCTTCCAGAACAGTGCTCCAGCACACAACTCCACTTACCTGGGTATCGAACCCGTTCTCCACCGAGCCGCTGGTCCGCAGCGGGAGCCCCTCCCCGGCCGGCTCCTGCAGTCCCTGCGATTTCAGCGGGATCTGGCTGGAGTAGGCGGTCTTGCTCACCTCCACCTTGCTTCCCAACTTGAGGTAGCAGGGCTGGGGACCGGCCCGGGCCGGGGGCACGTGCAGGATGGGCGCGGCGCTGTGCACGGGTTTGGGCAGTCCCGACTTCATTTTGGAGGCGACCAGGATGGCCGGCATCTTCTCCCGGGGCTTCGGCTTTCCCAGCACGTCCCTGGCAGCGGCGGCGGAGGCGACCGCTAAAGGCAGCTCGGGCGGCAGAGCAGGCGCCGGGCCTCCGCCCGCGAGGCGCCCACCGGCAGCGGAGAGAAAAATATCCCCGGGTCGGGGAACTCGGAGCTATCGGGTGAGCGCGCTTTCGGGGTGCGGGAAAGGGGCGGGGGACTGGTGGCGGCGCTCTGCTGATCCCACTTAGACCGATGTTGCTGCCGCTCTGACGCTGCTCCTGGGCGGTCTGGTCAAGGGCTCTAGACGCTCAGGGGTTGTTGCCTCTTATGATTCGCCTTCTGGGAAACCTCCCATATTCACTTGTCACTGCATCTCCGAGATGAGAAGGCCCCTTTGAAAGAGAAGTGGCCGCGAAGCACGCCTCCCGCTTCGGGAGGCTGCGAGTGTGAACCAGCAAGGAAAGGAGAAAGCCGCGGGAGGAGGGATGGATGAGCCGTGGAGGAAGGGAAGGGAGGGCGCACAGAGCCCAAGACGTCTCCGAGAGGCAATTGCCACCTTGATCGAGACCACCGCAGTGTCACCCGCGACGCAGAGGCGCGGCGAGAGCCCCCGAAAGGTCTGTCTAGGCGTGACAGTCAATCACCGCTGCTCAGAAGCCCCCAGCGCAGAACACCTTAGCGCCTGCAGGTCTGCACATGCTCCGTGCGCTATAGCGCAGCAAGGCTGTGGCCCTGGGGCGCCGGCACCGGGATACGCGACTAGCTGGCTGGGCAGGGCTGCGCCGTAGAGCGGCCGCGGCGCTTCCCGGGAAGGCTGCGCTGGCTGCTGGGCTCCGCCGAGAGGACAGGCTGAGGCCGGCTCGGCTGCGGCGCCGGAGGTGGGAGCCGCGTCCAGTCCGCGGAGGAAGCTGCGGGAGCCTTCCGCTTCTAAGCGAAGGAAGTGGGGGGGCGGGGGGCGGGACTGAGGGGGGCGGGCAGAGGCGCAGGGGGCGGGCCGGCTAGGCGGAGAGCGGGGAGAGGTGAGGCCGGTCCGTGCGCTCTTCTGCTCCCCACCAGCCCTGGCGCAGGGTGCGCCGGCCCCTCCCTCCCCTTCCCTCCCCTTCCCGTACTGGAGGCCCCAGCGCTCAGGGCTGTTCTGGGACCAGGAGACCCTGGTGGGGCCAGGGGGATGCCCTAGGCGCTGACCCTCCCCAGCCTGTCTAGCCAAGACTGGGCTTGCCAGCCAGCGCCACCCCCAGACCGGCCATGGCACTGCACCCACTGTCTGGGCCAAGGCGCCC